GGGTCCAATAAAGGGTCCAACGGGTCCAATAAAGGGTCCAATGGGTCCAATAAAGGGTCCAATGCTAAAAAATCGGTTTCGAATAGGCCTCTTGTAGGGGGATAGGATTTTTCGTCAAAAATTCTAACGAGCGTATCAGCATGCCTCCTGGGCGCGCATGGAAATGCTGACCAAAATGTCTGATCTGGTGAGTATTCGAACCTATGAACTAAAGCCTCGACTGCCGGCTGGTCGACGCCTTAGACCACGTTCCCACGGTGACATTTTATTCGTTCTATTTACTTACAGATGACCTTAGCTCGCGTGGATGATCGGCCACGACACATGACTTAACCCCTAGCATAGATCTTTCTGGCGGTACGACACGCACAGGCTGGAGAGGCTCGTACATGGTCCCGGTGCCCATGACGGCTTCCTCGACGGCGGGCCCATGGTTGCCACCTCGCGGTCCCGGACGGCTGCGGATGGCAGCGTGCGGCGGCGGGCGGCGACGGGCGGTGGCGGGCGGACGCGGGGGGCGCGACACGGTGGGCCTCGTGGCGCAGCGAGGAGATGTAGTGTAGGATTTATGTTACACTGTTCCTCCTATGATGACCCATCACAAAAATTAAATTTATGTTACACACCCAAAAGACAAATCCGAACACGTCAATGTTTTGCTTCAAAATTGGGTTTAAATTAGTCACCGAAAAGATACCCTCCAAAAAATACCATCAAAAAGATACCCTTCCAAAGTCACGCACTCAAAAGAGACTGTTTGAAAAAAAGTTGTTTGGGTTGGACGCTCAAAAGACACCCTTCAAAAAATAAGGTTTATGTTAGGCACCCATAACACACCCTTAAAAAATTAGGTGGGAGTTTGTCGCCCTTTCAAACAACCCGCATAAAAAAAAGGTTTATGTTACACACTCAAAAGACAGCCTTCAAACAAGCAGGCCCGCCCTTCCGCCAAACGAAGTTGCCAGCTTCGCTTCGCTGCGCCGGCAACTCCGTTCGGCAGGGGCCGGGCCTGCTTGGCCTGCCGGCGGCGATGGTCGGGCCTGCGGCCCGACCATTTCTGTCACGCGATTCGCTGTAGAACATAATCAAATGATGTAACGGGCCTTCGGCCCGCAAAGCCCATCGTCCTTAAAATTTGCCCCGTAGACACGAGAAAGGGATG